CCTGACATGATTTTCTCTAATCTCTCTAATCTAACCCGGTAAACCTACACCAGGTCTAACCATCTCTAACCTCTCTATCCTGGCTCCCAAACCTCAAATTAACCTCTCTAATCTAACCCGGTAAACCTACACCAGGTCTAACCATCTCTAACCTCTCCATCCTGACTCCTAAACCTCAACCTTATAACCTAACCTTATCTGACTGTACACAATATGCATATATCTACTTCGAGGATATGCTCGTAACAATATTACAAATTATACCCGAGTTAAAGGAGCAGCACTCAACTAGCAGGCTGCTGTAGTTTACAATAATAAATGTAGGTTATACATAAAGAGTTTTTTTTTTATATATATTTTTTTTTTCCAGACTTAACACAAGTACATATATTTACACATATATCTGATCAAATATGTAGACACATACAGGATTTTCACAATAATAAGAACATATTCAAAGCATATTTTGGATCATATTAAAAAATTTGGGAAGATTATGATACACATAAAGAGTTATTGCCAGTGCGTACTCACTAAATTTCAGAGATGGGTGCCGCCTCGTTTGCACTGATGATGAACAATGGAAACAAGATGGAGAACACACAGCCACTGAAAGAGAGAAATAAGATAGAGAACACACAGCCACTGTAAAGGGAGAAAGGGAGAAGGTGAACGAACGATTATTTGAAAAACGCGAGAGCTCTGAGGACTGTGAGGAGGGAGGGTGAACGAACGCTCACTCAAAAAACGTGAGAGAGAACGAACGCTCACTCGAAAAACGTGAGAGTTCTAAAGACTGCGAGTGGAGGGAAGGTGAACGAACGCTCACTCGAAAAACGCGAGAGCTCTGAGGACTGTGAGAGGGGGGGCGGGGAAGTGAACGAACGCTCACTCGAAAAACGCGAGAGCTGTTAGGACTGTGAAGGGGGAGGGTGAACGAACGCTCACCTGACGACCAGAGAGGAAGGCAGAGCCGTGAGTACTGCGAGGGGAAGGCCGAAACCGATGAAGTAAGGCCAGTGCATCTCGATGTAGCTGATCCTCTTCTGCACCTCCCAACCTGGAAACGGCAAGCGGAAAGAACGAGAAAAATGCATTAAACAACAAGATTCGCCAATCCGCCCGAGCACGGACGATCGCGGACGAACACGGATTACGACCGCAACGTTACCCGTGTTTGATTCACGCGGATGAAGACGAC